ACTCTTCCCGTGACAGTGGCATCTGCAGAGAGAAGCTTCTCTAAGCTTAAACTCATAAAAACCTTCCTGAGGTTCTCCATGTGTCAGGAACGCCTGAGTGGAATGGCAATGATTAGCATCAATCACCAGATAGGCAGCCAGATCTCATATGATGAGGTTATAAATGACTTTGCATCCAGGAAGGCCAAAAGAGAACAATTTTGAGGAATGAGTAAATGGAGTAAATAAAGAACTTCTGAGGGGAAGGCATTTTTAGTAAATTACTTTTTCCCAAGGATACCATGCATGCGTTTGGATTCTAATAGTTCTATTGAAATGTTACCTTATTATTATTATTGTTACTGTTGATCTTCTTTGTGATGTTTTAGATGTTATTGTTAATTTATTTTATTTGAAAAATTCAAACATTTTAAATGTTCTATTTGATATTTTATATAATATTTTATTTTTGTCATCCTCTTTGCTCTATTTAATTTAAATTATATATATATATATATATATATATATATATATTTCGCCACTTCCAGTAGCAATGTTTATGTGGGCTGCTTTTTACATGTTCTGGTAATTTACTGTAGAGTTTTTGCCATTTTGTTGTAGACGCCCTAAACCCATCTCGGCTATTAAGAGCGCTTGCAGACTTCTTTTCAAATTCATCAGAGAACATGGAACACAATAATGATTTGTTACATTCGCTAACAAACAGCCAGTCTCTTTTTACTTTTTCACGTCCATTTGCTGCTTTAGAGCATGACACATATTCTGGGAAAGGCCTGCCATAAGAATCTTGACATACCTTGTAACAAAGTAACGCTGTCAACACCTGCCAGTGCTCTAACAATGTTGTCTCTCTCTACATTGTTAAGTCTTTCGGGCCATTTTCCTGGATCAGTGTATAGATCCTGGGATCGGTGCCGCTCTCACAGGATTCCCCTTCATGTCCAGCCTGTGTTCTTCGTTCTTAATCAATAGAACTAGACGCAACATCATTATCCGTACTCCCCACTGTTGCCGTGGGTTCAAATCCTGGTGTCGGGTTAAATTCAGATAGAAGTTAAGTGTTTATAGAAATATTTACTCTAAGTAAAAGTGATAATCTCAATATTGACTTGAGTAAAAGTAAAAAGTATCCAATGAAAAAACTACTCAAGTAGCTAGTTACTTCAGATCTTTTCATGATTTTTTTTCATGAATTCGTTCATTTAACTAACTATTATTATCATAATTAGATCAGTGACTATGACTGTCTTTGCAACAAAAACAGAGGAGACCTAGGCCACCTAGATCCCAAAAATCATTGCCTGTCCTTTGGCTTGTATGATAGTAACTTATACAACTACATTTGGATTATTAGACAACGTCGATGAAAAGTGGAGTTCTACATTGAAAGGCATGTAATTGACACAGAGAAGAAATAGTTCAAACTCTTTACTGAACACAAAGAACGATCAAATGCACATCGACGGATCTACTTCTGTCTGTTCTCTTTACAGTTTTTCTCAATTGTTTACAAACAAATTCTGGTACTTGAGACACAATGACCACAACATGTAACTCATTCACCAACCCCCTGAACCAATTCTGCTAAACTACAAGCATAATTCCTGCTTTACACTCAAATTGCAGTTATAAAACACACTTTTTTCAAAACACTACACACAAATTCTGTGCATTTGGCACAATTTTCATGCAGAAAATCTCTTGTTCCCTTTCGAAGGGAACTCAACAATACGTCGAATGACGCAATGGGGAACGCCTCAGGCGTGACAGGTGTCTGAAATCAAATATCAACTCACAGTAATCAGGTTGACCGGCGACAGCCCGTGCATCATCAGCTTGAATGATGAGCGCGTCAATCTGGATGTATAAGAAGGGCGCCTTGAAACCGTGACAACATCTTTTCGTCTTCAGGGACTGTTTGTCTGTGTGATAGTATCAACGATTAAGCGCGCAGAGACGTGGAGAAACACTTTGCGCGAGTGTGCCGACTTGTGTCCAGATATTTGACACCGGAGGATTCACACGATCTGTGCGTGTTCTGCCTGAGAGAAGAGCATTCGCAGGAAGCTCTCGAGGGAGTTTTTTCCGCGAACTGAGAGTTTTCCTTTCAGAACTCTCTGCTCTCGTCTGACCCACTTCTCGAGGGAAGTGGGCGCGGCATCTGAACCCCGCGGTTCCGGTTCCCGCTCGGGCTGAGGCTCAGTGGCGGTTGAGCTCGTGGAGCTTTCAATTGAAGCTGGCAGATTATCGGGGGAGGGGCGTTAACCTCGCGGATGATCTACCAGCTGACGAGGGTGAGTTACAGATTAACGCTGAACATCTAAGAAGAGAGAAAATGAGCGCTCTCTCTCTTTGGTGAATCTGTAACTGTTCTCTTCGGGCAGGGCAGGAGTTGGCTGTAATATGTAATATATATATATATATATATATATAGAAAAGGATGTCAGTTTGGTTGAGACCGAACCATTTCAGCCCTCCTGCCCAGTGTACGCTGAGCTGGTTGACATTATGGGGCGCGCCACAGACAGATTGCAGTTGCAGTGGAGGCGCGTCTGGGAGGAACCCGCTCATGGTATTTTGGATGGCTGGTTCCTCCCCACCCATAAGCCACCAGCCCGGATGAGCCTTCCATTCCTTTCTGATCTCCACGCTGGGATTGAGAGGGTATGGAAGAATCCGTTCGCCTCACGTCTCTATCTGCATCAGCGGGCTAGTTTCGCTGCTGTGGAGGGAGCCGTGGAGCACGGATATGTGTCGATGCCGCCAGTGGATGAGACGTTGGCTAACTATCTCGTCTCTGGTTGGTCCTCTTCACTAAGAGCTCTGACCCTGTCATCCAAGCTGCTCAAGACATCTTCATGCTTGAATGACAGAGCGTACACGGCAGCAGGTCAGTCAGGTGCGGTTCTGCACGCCCTTGTGGTCCTCGGGCCTACCAGACTGATCTGCTGCGGGACTCCGGGCCACCAAGCAATCTGCTGTTCCGTCGGTGGCCACGGAGAGACATCTGTGGGAGCTCCCACATACTGTGGTTGCCGGGTTACAGGCCTCACCAGGCCTTCCTGGTTATGAGCTCCCACTGATTGTGGTGGCCAGGTTACAGGCCTCACCAGGCCTTCCTGGTTATGAGCTCCCACATGCTGTGGTCGCTGGGTTACAGGCTTCACCAGGCCTTCCTGGTTATGAGCTCCCACATACTGTGGTCGCCAGGTTAAAGGCCTCACCAGGCCTTCCTGGTTATGAGCTCCCATACATTGTGGTCGCCAGGTTACAGGCCTCACCAGGCCTTCCTGGTTATGAGCTCCCATATACTGTGGTCGCCAGGTTACAAGCCTCACCAGGCCTTCCTGGTTATGAGCTCCCACATACTGTGGTCGCCAGGTTACAGGCCTCACCAGGCCTTCCTGGTTATGAGCTCCCACATACTGTGGTCGCCAGGTTAAATCCAAATCCTTTTTAAATCCATTTTTCAATAGGCTACTCTATCATATTAACCATACACTAACTGGTTTATTATTATTATTAAGTACCAGTCTAAACCCATCAGTGCGAAATATTAATGCATAGGCGATGTAACGTTTGCCTCACGTGGTTACATTCACGGTCGTGTAGAGCCACCTATTGGATTTACCAGGTCACAACACACTTCAGGTAATTTCTGTAGCGTAGCAGCGGAGCAAAATGGACGAAGAAAAACTAATCAATGAAGTAGGGAAATACCCTGAAATATTTGCAACAAACCACAGATTTTTCAAAGACAACATAAGGAAGTCAGCAGCTTGGAGGAAGATCGCAGATGTCGTTGGATTTTCAGGTAAGATTCTCTAATTATGTTAACTTGCGACCTGAGGTAAAATTTTCTGTGACTGACGTTTGCAACGACTGTACTGTAACGTTAAAACAACGTTCAGGACAGACATTTTCTTAATCTCACAATGTCCTTAAAAAACAGTGTTTTTCACCACAAACTTACAATTATGATATTTCATTAAATAAATATTCATCTTGAAATTAGACTCCAATAACATGCCACCAGTGAACCACAAGAATATTAATTGATGTTAACAATGAAATCAATAGCTTAAGCGAAAAATATGTAACATATTTGATTTATTGAACAAACAAATCATATTAGTAATAGTATAAGAAATGTTGAAATTGATTTGCAATAACAATGCTAATAATTAATTTGTGCAGTCTAGTATTAAAGCTAATTAAAGACTGAATTGTTATGTAAGCAGGCATACATTAAGATATTACATATTTACATACATTATGATATCAAAAAAGTGATCAATTCTAAAATCAATTCAATTTAATGAATTAATAATTAAACTAAGACTGTGGTGACCATTAAACCATTTCATTCTGCCAAGATACATGTCCCACAGAGTTGAAATAAGAGCAGAATTTGTCTCGAACTGTGTAGGCCTCCCTTGCACCATGAAGTCCACCAACAGTAGAAATGCTCTCCATTGATCCAGGAGGTGGGGCTCTGGTATTCAGCCACCTCTCTACTTCCATTGGCTTGAGAAGAAAGTTGTGCAGGATGCAAGCTGACAAAATAAGGCTGTTTATTTTGTCAGGGTGTATGTTGATCCTCCAACGAGATAACAAAATGCCGAAGGCATTTTCAACTACATTGCGCGCTCGAGACAATCTGTAGTTGAAGATGCGTTGTTGTGCAGATAAGTCCCTACCAGGGTAAGGCCGCATCAGGTAGGTTTTTAATGGGAATGCTGCATCCCCTACAACGGTGAATGGCATGTTCCCCAGATGCTCTGCTCCTGGAAGGGGCTGATCATCTGGCATCTCCAGCTTCTTTGCATCTAGAGCCTGCCCTATGGCTGAGCCAGCAAAGACACCACGATCACTTGAGCGTCCATACTCTCCAATATGGACTAGGCGGAAACAATATTCGGCATCAACGACAGCCAATAATACTACAGAGAATGTTTTTTTGGGAAATTTAAAGAAAGGCTGCCTGAATGTGGTGGTGCAAAGATGAGGACGTGCTTCCCATCTATCGCTCCTATGCAGTTAGGAAAATTCCACCTAGATGAAAATCTTGAGGCAATATTTCTCCACTCCTGCTCAGTTGGTCTTGCTAGGTGTGTCTCCATCATCCGCCTGTTGATAGCTGCACATGTGTCCTTGATGGATTTAGCCACTGTGCTCTCCCCCATTCGGTAGTTAAAGGCAATCGTTCTTACTGAATTTCCTGTGGCCAGATATCTGTAAAACATAAACATTAATATAAACATTAATTTCTCCCTCTTCACAGAAAATGAGTGCAGAATGAGATGGAAGTCCCTGAGAGACAACTACATCAAGTGGAAGAAAAGACAACCGTTGCCAAGTGGCTCTGGAGCAGTGCGTCAACAGGAGTGGAAATATGCTGCTGCAATTTCCTTCCTAGATATCTTCTTGCAAAATAGAAGGTACCATTTATAGTAATACAATGTCAAGTGTGAATTAAATTGATAAAAGTATGATTTGAATTTTAACTTTCATTTAAAAAACTAATGCTTTTGTTTCTCTCTCTTTTTTTTCTTACAATCAGTAACGTTGACTTCGACAACCATATGGATGGGTCGACCCATGAGGGTGATTTGGAAACACAAATGACTCCAGAAGAGGAAAGCCCAGTACCAGAGACAACAGGGACCGAAAGTGAAGTTTCAGGATGGCCACAGAGACCCAAAAAGTCCAAATACACAAATTAATGAAAAGCTTGTAGACTTTTTAGCAACACCAACAGTGCCACCAAAACAACATGATGATACAGAACTTTTCCTTTTAAGTTTAGCACCTCAAATGAGGTCCTTGGGAATAAGAGAATAAACACGGGCAAAAATAGAGATGCTACGCATCTTGGATGAGCTGGATGTGCAGAGTAATCAGGTACATCATGGGCAAGGTGTGATTAGCTATCACACAGGACCACCACTGTTTGGTAGCTGAAGTGCTCCAAATTAAAATATTGTGGCTCCTTCTGCTTTCTCAACATACCATATTCATAATAGGTTACATTTGTTTGTTTTGGGAATTGTTAACCTAATCCTGTTTTATGTTAAGATTACTGATATATGTTAAGATATTGTTGTTGTTTTTTATTACTGTAGAATGTGATGTTTGGGCCCACCCTTAATTAAATGTATGTGGAGGCTGGCTAGAGTGGTCAGCAATTATTATTATTAAAATTATCTATGTGTACATTACGGTGTTATCTTGACAAATGGCTCACATGGTAAAATCCATTAAATTAATTATTGTTTTGAAAATATTGTCTTCATTCCTCCAACATCATAATAAATATAAACTGTGAATCAGGTTATAGAGAAAATTGCTTACCGCAATGTTACTGCAAGTTTTTCTTTTGGCCCAATAGGTGTCCGGTAATTTACAGACATCCCTGTGATGTCAGGTCCAATGACTGACAGCAGATCCTCCATCTGTTACAAAGACCTCAAGCGCGCCATTCTGCATTCGTCTTTGTGAAGCAGCTCCAGGACACCTGCCGCAGATGGCTGATGGCCGAGGGCCGCGACGTCGAGGGTGTCATCGAGCTGGTGGTGCTGGAACAGTTCATTGCCAAACTGCCCAAGAAGACCGCGCAGTGGGTCCAGTGCCACCGGCCGACGTCGCTGGACCAGGGCATCCAGTTGGCAGAGGATCAGCTGGTGGCGTGCCCGGGGGTCGGCGAGCCCATATCATCTTCTTCTCTCTCTCTCCCCCCTCTCCCTCTCTCTCGCCCTGTCCCTGCTCCCAGGTCCCGAGGCGGCGTTCCACCGTGTCCGGCGCCCCGTTGGAAAACTGGCCCGGGTGCTGAGCCGGTCCCGGCGCCGCGCGCTCCGCCCCGGGGAGGGCCAACGGCTGGCGCTGTGGGGACCCGGGCCACTTTATTGATCGGTGTCCTCTGATGGAAGTGGACACCTTGATTCGGGTCCCCTACGTGCCACAGGCCGCCCCCGATCAGACTGGGCTGTATCAAATACCTGTATGTATTAAGGGGGGTATGTATCAAGCTTTGGTGGATTCGGGTTATAACCAGACCTCGATCCATCAAAGTTTGATTCAGCCAGTGGCATTGGATAAGAGCCGTGAGGTTATGGTGCGGTGTGTGCACGGCGAGGTGATGGGGGATCCCGCATGAAGTATAGAAGCATAGTGTGGAGTAGGTCTGCACGATTAATCGAATTTTAATCACGATCAAGATTTTGGCTGCCCACGATCACATTCGCGTGATCGAACGATATTTAAAATGCGTCATTCCATTCACAGAACGCTCCGTATATCAAAGGTTTTTTTTGCAAAGCCAGTCTAGTGCTCCGTAAACCACTGTCTGATCAAGTGCCTCCACGAGCTCCAGTGCGCAAGAGAGACCGAAGCTGTGTCCCAATGTGAAGGCTGCATCCTCCGAAGGCCGTATTAGAAGGACTCAAGGCCAATTGCGTCACAGCCGTTCGAGTGTGTCTGCGCGCGAGCTACAGTGAACAAGAGAGACAAGTGTCCAAGCGCGCTCAAAAGTGTGCAAAGGATAGCATCCTCGAAATGAATTCCGGCTTCCGAGGATCCTTCCTTGACATTGAGAAACACCTTGAGTTTGTCTGCGTGCGAGCGACACCTAGCGACAGGTTGTGTCTGAGACTGAGTGACAGTGCAGGTGAGAGACCAAGTGTGAGCATTAGTAAATTGCATTAGTAAATTGGTACATACATAGGCCTACTACATAGTAATATATAATTACTATATAAGAGGCATGAAAGTTCGATTAATGGACTTCAATAATCAGTAGGCTAATACAAACATCTTGTTTTGAACTATATGTTTAATAAATAGAAATAATTCAACCACATAAACTTTCGTGTGGAGGATTAAATAGATTAAAATGTATGCAGTAAGATTTCACAACTAATTACTGACACATTTTACATTTCTTAAGTGTCAAGTAACAATGACTCTGAATTTCATCCATTAATCGAACTTCCATAGTGCATAGTTCTGCCTTGACATGTTCTCATTTGGTTGCATTCTGTTATGGAATATTTGTTTTTTATTGATTGTATATTTTGGGCGTTCTATTCACATCCATTATGCAGGTACAATGCAAGTTTATATTTTGCTTCCTAAAATATACTATTTACACAATGTAAAATGTAAAATAGTGCCCTGTTGAAGTTTTGCTACATTGTATTTATTGTTTTCTTTATTTTTATTTATTCTTTAAAGAGATGCACTGAATTTTGGTGAATGAGAGCACCTGTTTTATTTTAATGCACATAGTTGTACATTAGCAGGAATGTAGCACAATATGGATGTGAAAGCAGTTATAATTAGCCTATGTGACAATAAAATTAGTTTTGGTTAAAATCAACAAATAATCGTGATAATTAATCGTGATAATTAATCGTGATCCCAATATTGATCAAAATAATCGTGATCATTTTTGGCCCAAATCGTGCAGCCCTAGTGTGGAGGTGGCAGTTAATCCGCACCTCCGGTACCCGCTAATTTTGGGAACCAATTGGCCGGGGTTTCAATCTTTATTGGTGTATTTGTGTGCGAGTGCTCCTGGGCAAAAACAAAGGCACCGGAGGAGGGCGACTGTTCAGGCCGGCGAAGCTGAGCCGGGACCGTCGGCGGCTGTTTCAGAGGAACCAAGCGTGTCCAGAAATAAATTTTTTCGGACCGGGATGATTTTCCTCTGGAACAGTCCCGAGATGACACGCTGAAAAATGCGTTTGAGCAGGTCCGTGTCATCGACGGACAGCAGGTTCGGCCGGATCAGCCGCTCTCGTATCCCTATTTTGCCATGATTAAGGATAGGTTGTATCGGGTGACCCAGGACACCCAGACAAACCCAGATACAACCTAGTTATTAGTTTCATAAGAGCCATCGGGAAATGCTATTCCAGGCGGCTCATTGTAATCCCATGGCTGGGCACCTCGGGCAGGCAACCACATTAAATTGTCCAATGACCCGATTTTTCTGGCCGGGCATTCATGAGAACGTGTGCAGGTGGTGCGCGTCTTGTCAGGAATGTCAGTTGGTGAACCCACTGGCCCATAGTAAAGCACCTTTGTGCCCCCTTCCTTTAGTAGAGGTCCCCTTCGAGCAAATTGGTAGGGACCTCATCGGGCCATTAGAGCGATCTGCACGGGGACATCGCTTTGCATTAGTTCTGGTGGACTATGCAACACGATATCCCGAAGCAGTGCCGCTTCGCAATATTTCGGCGAAAAGTGTTGCGAGTGCACTGTTTCAATTAATCTCACGGGTGGGAATCCCGAAAGAGATTCTCACCGATCAGGGCACAGCGTTCATGTCATGCACAATTTGTGAACTGTATGAATTATTGGGCATTAAATCAATCCAGACCAGTGTCTATCACCCACAAACAGACGGCTCGGTGGAACAATTTAATTGCACGTTAAAAGCCATGATTCGTAAGTTCGTGTGGGAGGATGCTAAAAATTGGGATAAGTGGTTAGAACCCCTCTTGTTCGCTGTACGCGAGGTCCCCCAAGCCTCCACGGGGTTTTCCCCCTTCGAGCTTCCCTATGGGCGCCAGCCCCGAGGGGTGCTGGACGTACTTAGAGAGGCTTGGGAGGACCCTCGAGTAGTAAAAATGAAATTCAATACATCCTGGACCTGCAAACAAAATGTTGCAGGCGCAGGATAAACAAAATCGTCTGTACAACAGGGGGGCTAAACTACGTAAATTCGCACCGGGAGATAAAGTGCTCGTATTGCTCCCCACATCCAGCTCAAAATTACTCGCCAAGTGGCAAGGACCATTTGTGGTTACAAGGCGGGTCAACGATCTCAACTATGAGGTTGCTCGTTCAGATGGGGGGGGGGGACACAGATATGCCACCTCAATCTCCTTAAAAAGTGGAATGAGGTGGAGTCAGCGATGCTGGCAACGGTGGTGAGTGGGGAGGAGGATCTCGGGCCAGAGGTGAACGTAAAAGTACAATCCTCCCCTCTGGCCGTTTGCGGAAACCACCTCTCGCCGCCCCAGATCGCTGACATAAAACATCTGAAAGCGGAGTTCGCGGATGTGTTCTCGCCTCTCCCTGGTCGAACAGATCTCATGCAGCACCATGTTGAGACCGAGCCGGGCGTGGTTGTGCGCAGCCGGCCGTATAGGTTACCGGAACACACAAAAAAATTAGTTCAGGGCGAATTAGCGGCAATGCTGGATATGGGGGTAATAGAGGAATCCAACAGTGACTGGACGAGCCCGATAGTTTTAGTGCCTTAATCGGACGGCTCCGTCCGGTTCTGTGTGGATTACCGCAAGGTGAATGCCGTATCGAAATTCTATGCGTATCCAATGCCAAGGGTTGACGAGTTATTCGATCGGCTAGGCACAGCTCGCTTTTATATGACATTGGATTTAACGAAGGGCTATTGGCAGATCCCCTTATCTCCAATGTCCAAGGAAAAGATGTTGGAGAATTCTGCTTGTCCTATGTACATGTGACAAAAGAGTGCTGTACATGTGAAAGAAGCATGCTGTACATGTGAAAGAAGCGTGCATGTGATGTAATGCCAAGCAGAAAAAACTAGGGTCTTAGGGCACATGAGGACAGGGACAAGAGAGTGGAAAAGTACCCAAAAACACTTGTAGCACAGATGCAGGTATTGGAAGGCACTGGGAGAGAAACAAATTTTATACAATGTAACAATGTGCC